GAACGGCTCGTGCACTTGCGAGTATCACAAGTTGAGGATGCAGCTGAATCCATTTTGGTGCAGTTGTATCTACGCAACAAGCATCTCCAACCAATGTGTCAAAAGTGCCACATAGACATTTAACGGTTAGAAATAACGTCTCACATCGCTCCAACCGATATGTCAAAGTTGATGTGAAATGAAGGCTAGAGGTTGAGATGTTATTTTTGACATCCCACAAGCAAGATGTCAAATGAATATTTTATTATTTTTTCTTTTCTTTTCTTTTTATTTAAAAATAAATCAACACTAAAATGTAATAAAATAATTATTTAATTTGACATATCGGGTGGAGTGTAAAGCTGTGTAAGAGCATCTCCAACCGATATGTCAAAAGTGATACATAGATATTTAACGGCTAGAAATAACATCTCACATCACTCCAACCGAATTGTCAAAGCTGATGTGGAATGAAGGCTGAAGGTTCATCTGTTATTTTTGACAACCCGAATATATATATATATATATATATATATATATATATATATATATATATATATATATATATATATATATATATATATATATATATATATATATATATATATATATATATATATATATATATATATATATATATATATATATATATATATATATATATATATATATATATATATATATATATATATATATATATATATATATATATATATATATATATATATATATATATACATAAATAAAAGAACTTGTGCTCAAACACAGTTCTTCTTTTATACCAAAAAAAATTCTTTTCCTTTACAGACTACAGTGAATTGTGAAGAACCCCAACATGTCTCATCATTTTTCCAATTCATCTTCTGATTCGACAGATGAGCATTTTTGGAATCTTGTTGATTCAGAGTCTGATGAAGAACTAGAAATGTTGGAAGTGGTTGCTTTGCAAAAGGAACAAGAGAATTAGTCTCACAGTATTATGTTATTTCAAGTTTTAGTTGCATATGTATTGTTTTAAATTTTAGTTTATTAAATCAGAAGTGTATTTGGTTTTAATTTGGACTCTGAGAAAACGTTGGTCCATATCCATTTGTTTGTTCTTGTTGTGATCAGATCATTGCTCTATCATATACAACATTAAGAGTTTGTTTCATTTACGTTTGATTAGTCTCGACTCATCTCAGTCCATATTAAAATCTAATTTCTTTAAGAAAACAATATAATACAAAACAAAACAAATTATAAAATATTACCGTTGCATATCACTTTGAATCGTTTCATTTATGCTTGCACAAGTGAACTAATTTGTTGCTATTTTTATTTTCTTTCAAGGTCATGCATGCATTGTTTCAATACAGATGCATTGTTTATTTTATTTTCTTTTTAATTAAAAATATAAAAATTATATTATAAGAAGTAGTAAATAAATCAACATTGAAATGTAATTGTTCACCCGTTTTGATTTGTTTCCTGTGATGGTAGGGTAAAGTTCCCCATTAATTCAAAGACCTTGGTTTGGTCAATAAATTAACTTTCTTTATGTGTTGAGCATGCCACCGTTCGCAATTTTTCAATCCTAACAGACTTTTAGAGTAAGGATAACTTGTGCCCCAAGCTATTGACTATAAACAAAACGATTGTGAATTTGGGTGAGGAATATCTCCCAAGTAAGTTCTTTTCTATGCCTTAGACAAGTAATGACTTTATGATTTTTCTCAATATAAAACCGGTAGTTCTGGCTAGAGTAGATGGTAACAGATTGAACTAATTTCAGGCAGAACTCCCCTTTACAAGGCTCAAAAAGGAAAAACTGACTATGCAAAGATAAGAGGAGGGCTGTGCTTCCATTTCTATCTGGGTAGTTGCCTCTGTTCTGGGCTGGACTGGATGCGTCTATGCTAGATTGGACTCTTAACAGTTTCAACTGCTAGGCTTCAGTTTCAAATCGATACCAAGTTTGAATTTGGCAGAGCTTTAATTCATTTCAAGCCCTGGAAGGCTTTTGGACGGGCAGAACTGGGATTTCTCCGGTCTGAAAGGGACAGAAGTGACTGGACGTGAGCTGGAGGTGTACTGTGGTACCTGTGCTGCTTAGTCAGGGCTCTCCATAAATTTGTTGAGGTTTTCGTATTTGAGAAAAACTCAAACTCTGCTTGTCTTGGCTTTTGCTGAACCAAATTTGTAACGAGAGAAATCTCGTTATTGTTGATTTGTGAACTGGGATTCAAATCAGAAGCAGTATTCTAACTATCTTTGCTGGGAAAGGTAGGATGATTCTGCAAGCTTGTTGAAAAAGCTTTTGAATATTGAAATGCTTTAGACTCTGGGTCTGTTGGACTTTGTTTGGAATTCTTGTGATCAAGTGATCATTTTGAGTGTTTGTCTTTTGACTGAGTTTTTGGTTGTGTTGATTGCCTCTTTCTCTGTTCACCCTCTCTCATATATATAAGAAATGTTCTTTGAGTGGGAGTTTTGATTCTTTTAATATTGGGCGGCAAATAATCTCAAAAGATCTTTAATTTTTAAAAGAGAAAGAAGGGGGTTCTATCCATTTTTGGCAAGCAAACACTCAACGATCAGTTCCTCAAGTGACCATTTTTCTGTATTTTGATGGGGTGCCATGCTCTTCTTCTTTTTCAACTGCTTTTGCAAGAGTCTGAAGTTTTGAGATGGTAAGTTCTCAGTTTTTGAACAGTTCCCTGTTTCCCGCTTATCTTCTTTTCACAGAGGCTGAGTCTGCTTATCTCTTGAGAATGGTGTCTTCTCTGAAATAGGAAAATATCTTTTGAATAATTAAAACGGAGTTTGATCTCCTGGCAACATAGTTTTTTAAGAGACATCCTTCTTTATACCTGCCCCTGCTCAATCTTTAATTTCAGCCGAAGTTATTGACTTTTCCAAGTCAGGGGTCACATGGGTCTGTTCCTTTTGTGGGTTTTTCTCTTTTTAAAAGTTGCCAAGCCCATTTGTTCCTTTGGCTCAAACCTGTTTTGGCTTCTTTCAAGGCCCAAGTTTCTTCTTGAGATGGCCAATTTGTTCCTTTGGGTAAAGTGATATTGCTTTGGCCTGTTTATTTTGTTTAATGGGCTGGGCGCGTTTGATGGGCGGAGGGCGTCATTTTTAGGTCCAGATTAGCAGCCCAAAATGATGTTGGTTTTTATCTCTGGACCAGGCGCACCAAATTTGGGCCCAAACAGTAATAAAATAATAATTTAATTTGACATATCGGGTGGAGTGTAAAACTATGTAAGATGTCAAATTGCCACATCAGCCATCAAATTTAAATTTGATGTTTGGTATTTGACATCTCCCTTGAGAGCATCTCCAACCGATATGTCAAAAGTGCCACATAGATATTTAACGGCTAGAAATAACATCTCACATCACTTCAATCGAATTGTCAAAGCTGATGTGGAATGAAGGTTTGAGGTTCAGCTGTTATTTTTGACATACCAAAAGCAAGATGTAAAATGAATATTTTATTATTTTTTAAAGACAGTTGGCTGCTACTTTCATTTTTTATTTTCCTTTTTTATTTTTTTTTTCTTCTTTATCTTGAATGATTTGACTGTTACAATAATTATTTATTTGACATATCGGGTGGAGTGTAAAACTAGGTAAATATCAAATTGCCACATCAGCCATCAAATTTTAATTTGATGTTTGGTATTTGACATCTCCCTTGGAGATGCTCTGAAGATGCTCTAAGAAGAATAAAGTAGAGTGTGGGCCATGACCATCCTGGTCATGTCATACGCTTGGAAGATGAAAACATTCGTGGGACATTCCAGGGGGTGAGAGAAAAGAGACAGTTTAAATGTGTATTGGAAAGTAAAATACATTTCTTAAATATTTTATTGGGTTTAATTACTCAGGAAAATTGGAAAGTTACTTATAGCTGTTAAGGACAATAAAATGGTTTTATATTTATTATATTTAAATCATATGTAATCAATAAATTTGTTGACAAAGCAAGCAAAACCATTGACCAGCCACCCACGGTCACCAAAATCAATTTGTTGACTAAAAAACTTGACTATTGCCTTCTTTTCTTTTCTTTTCTTGTAGTGCTACTGCTACCTTAGTTTACGTCTTTTTTTTTGTCTGAACCATGAGGTGGTCCTGGATGGGCCCCAACTATGGGTGGCACCTTTAAGCCTTAACCACAACCCAGACTAATCTCCACTCACACCGGGTCGCCCCATAAGGGGTAAAGTATTGGCCAAAATGGTGACTCCATACGAGAGCAGGCTTAGTTTACGTCTTTCAATTTGATTAATTTTGTCTGATTTTTAATTGCAGACAAATTCAGTTGGTGAGGGGCATTTTGGTATAAAATTGACTTTTTGCCTAAAACTATTGATTGATTATGTGACTCTTGGTGTCGTTTTGTTGGCTGGGAAGAGAAGAGAACGACTGATCGATTATTCATGCAATTGAAGAACTTGGTGTGAAAATGGCGTCGTATTGGCTGGTGTCTCCCTCTCCCGCTTCACCTAGGTTCCTGAAGCCCTCGTTTTCTCTCTCCCGCACCCTATCCGCAGGCGCAGGCTCTTCTTCTTCTTCTTCTTATAACCCAGTACCCATCACAAGCAGCAGCAGCAATTCTCCTAACACAATCCCTTATCCCAACGCAAGCCTGTTGTTGTTGGGCCCATTCAGTCAAAGGCGCCGGCGTTGGAGTCCCAGTTGTGTTAACTTTGATCTCAGACGCCGAGCTCACGTGTCGAGGAGCTCGTCTTCTGCATCCACAGGCCCCGAGAAGGACGATGAGGCCGCTGCCAAGGTTGCAGTTGAGGGTTCTACTTGGATCGACTTGTATTTGCCGAGGCAAGCTCGCCCTTATGCTAAGCTCGCTCGGGTCGACAAGCCCATCGGCACGTGGTTGTTCGCTTGGCCTTGCATGTGGTGAGTGAGTCTGAGACTCTAAGTCATCATTTTTTACTAGTTCGAATTTTAATTAAGGTATTTATTGTAATTAATTAAGCTGTCTGAAACTGAAATTAAGGTAGTTAGGTGTGGTTGGTTTTGTTTTGTGGGTGCACCGTGCAGGTCAATAATATTGGCAGCAACTCCAGGAGTACACCTGCCTGATATTAAGATGTTGACACTATTTGCATTTGGGGCTCTCTTTGTCAGGGGCGCCGCATGCACCATAAACGATTTCCTTGACCGGGATATTGATGCCATGGTACGTTAGAGCATCAACAATCATGTTCATAATTTTTAAGTTAAAATTTAACTAAAAACACTAGAAAGCTATTTTAATAGCTCCTTATAAAATTTCAACTTCAATCATACTCTCTAGTTTAGGGAATCATAAATAATTTATTTCTTTTTTTAGTTTAGCATAAATGTTCTCTCTTCATATAAAATAATAATAATAATTAGTTAGCATTAAATAAATACTTAAAATATTATTAAAGTAAAATAATATTTAATTATAGGGAATCAGTAGGAGTATTTTTTTCTCTCCTCATATTTAGGAGCTTCTAAAGATCTCTTTATTTTAGGAGTTTAATAGGGAGCATGATTGGAGGTGGGTTTTGTCACTTCCTCCCTAAATTTTATCTACGAAGGTGATTGAGGGAGTTCATTGTGGATGCTCCTACATCACCTCTTTCACATTAAAGATAAAAACATAACATTAATTTTATGCAACTCAAGAGTGATGCATGATGATATTAAATAAATATGCAATTAATATTTCAGGTGGAACGCACAAAGTCGCGGCCACTTGCAAGTGGTGTTTTGACACCTTTTCAGGGGCTCTGTTTTCTTGGATTTCAATTGCTTTTGGTTCTTGGGTTTCTCCTTCAACTGAATAATTACAGGTCTTAGGGTTTGAGAAACACCCTTATTGGATTCATTCCGTATTGTATTTTACTAATTCAAACCGTTTATTATATTATGTAATTACTAATGATTAATTGACAGCCGCGTTTTGGGGGCTGCATGGCTGTTGCTAATTTTCACCTATCCCCTTATGAAGAGGATGACATACTGGGTAATTAAACCTCTGCATGAATCCTGAAGCCTGAGTAATTAATAATTAGTAAATGGTAGCTATGATGACGTTGTGTTGTGTGCATCATGCAGCCACAAGCGTTTCTAGGTTTGGTGATCAGCTGGGGGGGTTTATTAGGATGGGCTGCAGTTAAAGGAACCATTGATCTAGCTATAATGCTGCCCTTGTACATTTCTGTAGTATTCTGGACACTCGTCTATGATACCATATATGCACATCAGGTATGTACGTAAAACAATATTTGAGTGTCACGAAATTAGTTAATTACTCATCATGACCTTGTGCTTGCACTGCAGGACAAGGAAGATGATGTGAAAGTAGGTGTTAAGTCTACGGCATTGAGATTTGGCGATTCAACCAAGAAATGGATTACTGGGTTTGGAATTATATGCATCACTAGTCTTGCCCTCGCTGGATATAATGCTGAAATTGGTTTGGTTCTTTTCCTTCTTTGTTCATTTTTCTTCTTTGTTTTTTTCTGTCACGTTTCATAACTATATAACATGTGGCATGGAGCAGGTTGGGCATACTATGCAAGTGTGGGAGTTGCATCTGGACATTTAGCTTGGCAGATATTGACAGCTGACCTTTCATCCCCGCTTGATTGCAATAAAAAGTACGTGTTGCCGTATAAATATATGAATTTGCATTGATAATAAAATTTGGGTTATTATTGCCTACCTAAGCAAGAATTTGGTCTTGTGTTGGTTCCAGATTTGTGTCGAACAAAGGGTTTGGTGCTATTATTTTCATTGGAATCCTACTTGGAAGACTTTTCCCATGATGAAGATGCTGCCTAATTCTCGCTTTGCTTAGCTGCTGCTGCTGCTTTTTTTCTCACGGAGTGGGAAATTGGAACACAAAGGCAAAACAAAGAGAGATGGACAAAAATGGGGGATTTGGTTTGGGATGTTTTATTTTCCAATAATAATAAAAAGAGGAAATTACCCTGGAATCCATTACGGATAAATTTCCCAAGATGTACATACCCTAATCAGGGCCGGCCCTGAGCCTGGGCACCGAGGGCGACGGCCATGGGCCTCCAATTTTTGGGGTCTCAAAATTTTTTTTTAATATTACTGGAGCCCAAACTTAATTTTTTTTTTAAGGTGGACTCGGTTTGGGTGGGCTGAGGGAATTTGTATGTGTTCCATGGTAGAGAGAGAAAAGGAGGAAGGGGAATAGGGAAGGGAGATTGGAGGAAGGGGTTGTGAAGAGGGAAGGGGGAATGGATTTCAAGGTAGGTGGGGTTGGTTGGAGGTGTTGGTGGCGCACATGTAATGCGGGAATGTGAGAATTTATTTTTTTTCAAACTTAATTGTTTAAAGGATATACAATTTTTTTAATAATAATTTTTTCATTTTTAAAATACCCTTGAAAATGGAATGACTACAATACCCTTTCAAATGGATGGTGTTAAAGTCAGCTGACAAATCATGAATTTTGAAAAATTAAGGTGACATTTCTCTTAAATTTTTCTTTAAAGTGACAAATTGAAACTAAGATATAAGTTCATGTAACATTTCTGCAAAAATTCTTTAAATGTACATATATTTTCATTACTAACTCTTTCTTATTCACCTTATTCATCAATGACATAAGAAATGGATTCGGTTGGGCTTCTTTCCTACTCTAATCTTCTCATAAACTTGTGAAACTTGGGAACCATATAGAAGAGAGAGATATACAAAAACATAAAATAAAAAGGCAAAGGGAAAATACTCAAAATAATTGTGAGCCCTAAGACTAAATTTTGGAAATGTGGTTACAAGTTTAATTAAAGTTAGGAGAAAATTAGATTAGCAAAGAAATCCCAACTCATAAAAATTAAATTGAAAATGTAGGGCTTATTGGGTATTCTATTTGAGGGGTTCAACAATGAGAAGTTTAAGAGTGAGGAGCTTATTTGAGGGGTTCAATCCTATCATCAAACTATTTAAAATATTTAGGCCCCATTTGGTTCAAATAACGGATTTGAGGGGAAATTACTTCCTATGTCATTTCTCAAGGGGTATGAAATGGAGATTAATTTCCCATGTTTGGTAATCCTACGAAAGTAATAAAAAAAATACCATTTTATTTCATTTCACATGTTTGGTTTGTGTAGGAATATGAAACAAAGTTTGTTTAATTTTTCAATTATATGCATATGAATCAAATAAAAAAATAATGCATTTAATGCTATATTGTAATTCTAAATTGTTAATGAAGACAATATGGTCATGAAAAATGTGTATTTAATGTTGGCTCATTTTCCCAAATTTTCTCATGAGGAGGAAAACAAAACCCAAGGCGGGAGTAGGGCTTCACTTTCCCCCTACTTTCTCATGTGCAAAACAACGATTTCTCATGCTTGAAAATACCAAACATGGAAAAGCAATTGATTTCCCATCCTAAAGGCTCATTTATCTTGAACCAAATGAGGTCTTAACTCGATTGATTTTCTCATATTTGTTGATGGTGGGATTAAATCCCTCACTCTAAACTCCTCATTATAGCCTTTCCGTTATATTTGAAATCAACTTTTCAAACTTAAAAATAATTTTAAAGTTCAAAGCCCAAAAAACGTGTTTGATAGGCACATTTTAAAAAACCCAAACCAAAAAAACTTAAAAACATCACATAATTAAAAACAAAAAATATACAACGTTTTTCTTGAATTTTTTTTTCTCGCGCTCTGGTCTCAAGCTCGAGCTCGCGTTTTAAAGCTCAGAAGCTTGAAGCTCTCTTGTTCTTCTCTATCTACATCTCTCCACTTCTCTCTCATCAGAAACCCTAGAAATTGGGGCTTCTTCCAATGTCAAACTCCAATATAGAGGTTAGTTTTTTTTTCACTCTGTCTTTTCTCTTTTGGTTTCTTGAATTTTGTTGGATAAATTTAGCTGGTTTTTGTTTATTCTTCTATTTTCTATATATCCCCTCAATTGTGATGTTGGAGAAGATAGAACCTCGATATATAGCTTGAGGAGGGTCATAGCTTTGTTATAGCGAGGTGAGGCCAAGACTTGGCCTAAATTTCATTTCCTTTCTTTTTTTGTGTAAATAGAAAAGTTGCTTCTCCTCCGGTCCTAGTACTGCTAGCCTATAATCTGAATTTGGAATTGTCATTATATCAAGCATTGGACCTCTGTCTCTGCTTCCATATCCTCAAGCTGGAATGCTTCTGATTCCACTCCATGCCACTGGACACTCTGATTTGGCCTTCTCTTGTCACCATTATATATAATGTGCTCCATGTAACGGATCCTTAGCTTAAGATGTAATGGCGGAAATGATTGTAAATCAGCATGCCCTTTCGGAATGCAATTTAAATCTATCTATCCCCTTCTTTTTCTTCTCTCAAATTTGCAGTGTACAGTAGAGTAGGTAGTTTGGTTGAGGGGGTTTTTTTTTTTTTTTTGGG